TGCTTGCTGGACTTGCAATAATGCCTCTTGAAACCAGTACTACTGCTGAGCAGACCAGAAGGGTACTTTAGGATTACTTTAGGATTAGAAGGTGTTCTCTTCAGCTCTTACTGGTGGGTACAGGCAGAGGTGAATAAAACTCCTGAAAGGGGAACATAGAGTTTAAAAATGTGGTTCCTGGTGTGATGTATAAAAACCACGGTGAGAAGCTTTTCTGGAAGTATTGCTAAGAGGACTGAAATCAGCAATACTGTAAGGTTTGTGAGAGCCTAATTTTGTGAGATTAACAGCCCCATTTCCTGTCCAAATATGTTCAGATAAATTCATGTGACTACTGAATAATTATGCGCTGCTTATCTGACTGCACTTCCAGTCCTAAAGATTCAGCATTTCGGGAMGGTTTGCTCAGCTATGGAAACCTTCAGTGAGACATTTTAACTGCAAGAGCACAGGCAACATCAGCTGCTAAAACCTGACATTGCCATGTCTCTAGTACCACATAAATCTTTTCTTCCTGGGGCTCCAGTTCTCAACACTTTCTCCCTACTTGGAGATTGATCTTGTTCCTGTATTTAAAACAGGGACTATTAATGAGTTATTATGGAATGGTAGTTTAGGATCACTGATGCACACAGTCTTACTCTGTTACAGTGAAAAAATGACATTWTGCATATTTGTAATAATAAAGAACAGCTGTAGTTACATGTCTCTGACAGAAAGCATGTGAGAAATAATGCACTGTCCGAAGCACACGAAATTTTGTTTTCATTAAGGCAAATATGATGCCCCTGTTTAGTGCAATTGAATGTATTACCATTAATAAAGGACTTGAATTTTTTTTTCACATTTATGCTGCTTGTAAAACAATATCATCTTTTAATATGTTGCTATCTTGAAAGTCTTTTCATTCTTAGTATAGTCTGAAATTTGTCCAATAAATTGCTGTCTATTGAATGTTTAAGTGTCATGACATTAAATATAGGCAAAATTTAACTGTCATGTTTCTTTTCATTTCTTTTTCCCATCAGTTTTTTTTTCACCTGGCATTGATACCTGCTCAGTGCTTTGAAGCACCCATTTCCCTCTGAGTGTAGTTAAATAGCTCTTGACTCATTAGCTGAGGTGTTAATTAGGACTTGCAMATCTGCAAGCCCATAATATCTGGTGAAGAGAAAATGTAAATATCGAAGTGCTGCTACACCTGAGCTGTGCTTGMGCCTTTCTGCTCTCTCTCCCAGGCTGCATTCTTTATTTCCACTTCATTCTTACTGTCTTCCTTCACCAAGACTTTTCTGAGCCTTRCTCATTTCTTTCCAAATACCTCTGCCACTTTCTTACTCACCTTTATGGCCCATCTTAAAGCTGCTTGTRGAAAGTGCAGCTCTGCCACCAGCCAGAATACAAATTCCTGCCTGCCTGTGGCAAGCATCCACATGGAGGAATCATCAACACGTGAAATCAAAGGTGCAGGAGACCTTGAATCTGGAAACCAATTSTAAAACACTCATTGACATCACTGAGACCCAGGGACACTTGGTCTCACTGGTACACCACAGCCTGTATATGTCTGTGACTTTAGCTATAGGGTTAATTTCATGAATATAAAAATGCCAGGGTTTTTTTTGCATTGAGATTGTACTGATGGTTATGCTATCCAAAGTGCATTTTATCTGTTATTTAAGATTAATATACATATTAGGGAAGGAGCTGGATCACCCTGTATGGATTTACAGTTCCTCAAAGCAGAAGAGAGGAATGTTTTGAAACAGGATGATACAGGATGGTTTCAAACATAAAAGTTTCTATATTTAAGAAAGCTGTAAGGCRTATGCTTTATCCTAAATGATGAAATGGGGCATAGGCACACATCTGGAGCTGAGCAATGCCTCAGTGCTGTTACAGAAATAGGCACTGTGGGAAGCAGGGTATCCAAAATCGTGGTTTCAATGTTTTAGGCTTCCAATATTGAATGCTGAAACTGTAAGGGAACAAGTGTTCTCCTGGAGGTGCAGTGGCAGTGGTAAGGTTTGACATCTCATAAACCCTTAGGCCACTCAGGGTCCAAACTCAGGCYAAGCTGGGAGACACTACTACATGCAAAGGTAAAACACAACAGGTGAGTCGACAGAGTCAGGGAAGAAAATTTCTCTCCAAACCCTGCCAAGCAGCGTGCAGTTGCTGGAGATGCTGTCTCATATGGGAGGAAAAATTGATTCCTTCTCTTGCATAAGAGAGGGAGAGGGCTTCCCTCACTCATGCTGTGAAGCAAACTGATTGTTAGTGTGGTCTGCATCTTATTTTTTGTGAGTAGCTGCTGCTCCAGACCCAGAATTTTGTACAGGGACTTAACAAGTGTGAGTCCTTAATAATTTCCTGTGAGGGAGTAGCTTACTGCTTGTCCCTCATCACTTGGAAAAGAGATTTGTCCAGGGTTTCTGGAGATGTCAGCAGCTGACTGCTCGGGTGGTGGTCTGTGCCCAGATGTGGCAGTGTGACACTGCTGCASCAGGGAATACACACCCAGGAATGTGGTGATGGGGGAATGTCATTCCCTCCTTATTGCCCAAGTAAGTGTGTAGATACCAGACTTTGTGTTTATCTTGCTCTRCTGCTAGTCTGTTGGCTTTTTCCTCTTCAGACTGCCTTGAAGACTGATAGTGTCAAAACAGTGGTGCAGGTGGGAGAGAAGCACCCTCAGTTACCGGGTGAATTTAATGGTGACAGAGTGACCCCCAATTCTGCGAACTAGATGGGAGATGGTTGTGCCAGAACCACGCAGGAGCTGGTGGGAGCTGTCATTGTGTCACACCTTCCCAGATGCTTCAGTCTSCAGTGCTGTCACCACTTGTCCCCCACACATAATAAAAGCTAATCAGTACAAGTTTTGGTTTAGGCAGCTYATTGGGTTCAGCATAGCCGGGGAAAAGCGATGGAGCCAGAGCACAGTTGCGATTCCAGGCATTTGCAGTATCCCAGGCATCTGGCTGTCACATCAGCTGCATCTGTTGAGCTGACGTGAGAACGACGTGAACACCGAACGTGCAGGAGTGTGCTGGTGGGAGGACAGAGAGCGTGGAGATGCAGTGAGGCCACTTTGTGAGACATGATGTCACCCTGTGCACAGGTCTGCTGAAATTAGGAGCTGGAGTTGCTGGCTGTGACAAGGAAGATTATTCACACACATTAAAATTCTTCACTCAGTGTGTGCTTTCAGGCAGCCTGTAGTCTTGCTGCAAGGTCTGTGGCCAGTGCACTGTGGAGTCATGAAGATTTCAAAATATCTCTTGACATTAAGCTTTCTGGAATTTTCTTTACTTTCATGGATTGAAAAAGACATAGTTCCATGAACTTAGTTGCACACCACCAAAGAGACATTTATTTGCTAGGTTTGGTTTTTTCTTCTTAGAAAATGTTGATATTCAGTTTCTGGAGTGATGAAAACAATTTCTGGCTTTGCTTTTGCAAACCAAATATCATTTTTCAGAATCTGCTGGATTATTATTAAGCCAAAACCTGCATGTCATAATAACCACAGAAATAAATAACAGTAGTATATAAATGATGCCATTTTAGAATATGTCCTGAAGCTCTTTGTCAGTTTGTCTAATGTTCTTACTTGGGTGATTGCTATTTTGCCTTCAAATTAAAATAAAAGTAAGATATGACRAGAGTCGTGATTTGTCATTCCAACTGCAATTAGTCATTGGTCATCAAGTCGCTAATCAAATTTTCTGTTTCTAAAGAATKAACTTTATTTTACTAACATGCAAGGATAGTTTCTAACTCTGCAGAATGCTTTGAGAAATTCTGAAGCTTTGTTTTGCTAGAATTCATCTTACCCAACTTCAGGCACTCTGGTAGTCAAGTGTCTAGCTGAGCCCAGTCACACAGGCTGTTCTGTCAATGGAGAAAGGTGTGTGCCAGAAGATGCTCACTCTGCTTATTTAAGATCACTTTTGTCTGAGGGCTCAGATCACTGTCAGGGTGCCCATCTAGTCCCTACTAACTGTGATTTGGACAAGTTTCAGGAGACAAGCAAGTCTGCCACCTTAGCTGAATCAGTCCCTGTAGTTGCATGCTGCCGGGACAAGCTCCGTGTCCCAGGTTCAGCAGCGGTTCCCTTGGATTAGGACAGCTACAAGAAAGGCTGTTGTGATCCCATGGCGTCGGTGAGTTGTTTTCTCTGACATGTGGCTCAGGTACAGAAATGAAACATAATAAAGGCACTTTAGAACAGACACTAAGAAGGTAGCCCTGAACAGGGGGGCAGGGTGGGTATGGACAGAGGTAGATTTGCCGGTCCTCTAGGAGATAAAACCTCAAGATTTGTTGTGGAGAACTTGGAAGTGCTCAAAGCCATGTTGGATGGGTCTCTTAGCAATTTGGTTAAGTGGAAAGTGTCTCTGTCCATGCCCTGGGGTTTGGAACTGTCTGATCTTTAGGTCTCTTCCAACACAAATCATTGTGTGAGTCTCTAATTTACACCTTTACTGGATATGATGTTTGAGCCTGTCGCACTGATTTGGTACTTTCTGTTGTCCCAAACCGTCTTGTTTTCTTGGTTTTATGTCCGGCAGCATTACCGCTGCGAAGCTCAAGCTTGGGGCCCCTCCTGTGCCACAGGAGCGGGGACAACTCGTTCCCCAGAGCTGCCCTTTCCCGGGGAACTGGGGCACCGGGCAGCACGGCAGCTCCGCAGGCACATCCAGGCTCACGGCCGGTCCGGGACCCTCGGGGAAGGATGCAGATCCCGGGAGCAGATCCGGGGGCAGTCTGTGTGGGGGTTCCCCGGGGCGGCGGGGGCGGCGCGGGGGCTGCGGCGGGGACGGGCGGCAGCTCCCGCCCCCTCGGTGCCTCCCAGCCCCGCCCGGCCGCGGCCGCCGTGCCCCTCCCGGGGCAGGGGCAGAGAGAACGGGGCGGGGGGGACCSGAGCCGGCGAGGCGTGATCGCCCGAGGCCCCTCCTGCCTGCCGGGGAAGCCTTAAAACACCCCGGCGAGRCGCGGAGCCCCGCACTCGGGAGCCCCGACGCACCAAGACGAGCCGGAGCCGCTCCGCTGCTGCCGCCGCCGTGAGTGCCGCGATGGGGCGGGCACGGGGATAGGGATGGGATGGGATGGGATGGGGATAGGGATGGGGATGGGGACGGGAGGCTGTTCGGGCCGGTCCGGGGCTGCGCTGCTGCGGCCGCGCTGCTCCCGCCGTCGGGGCAGGTGCTGACCAGGCTCTCGTCCATCCCGCCCCGCCGTGCAGATGCAGATGCAGGGCACCGTGAGGCTGTGGGTGTCGGTGCTGACTTTCGCCCTGTCGCTGCTGGTCTGCCTGGGGACGCTGGCAGAGGCGTACCCCTCCAAACCGGACAGTCCCGGCGAGGATGCCCCCGCAGAGGACATGGCCAGATACTACTCGGCGCTGAGGCACTACATCAACCTCATCACCAGGCAGAGGTAGGCAGAGCSGGACGGCAAACATCCCCGTTTTCCACTCCCCCGGCTGATTTTTTCGTTGGCGAGGTTTAGGGGGAAAAGGTGCCCACTGGGTGCCTCTCCTTGCTTTCCCCAAGGACACAAAGAAAGATTTAGTGCACAGATTCCCTTTAGAGAGCAACTCGCGTGAAAAACTGAGTTGCCGATGGGTCCAGGGCTGAGTTTCCACCATCCAAGTTGGCAGAAGGGGCAGGGGTGTCAATGCTGCCTCTGCTCTCTCAGCCTCTTCTGGCTCTGGCACAGACAGGCTGGCAGGAARGAAGATGAACCACAGGAAAACCCCCCAAAAGGGAAAGATAACTAACCTGGGAGCTGGAGAGAGTTAGACAGGGCAGTAGGAGCAGTTTCTCACTTCTGTTGCTGCCACTGACTCTAGTGAAGATTTTGGTGAGAAAAAGTGCCCACTGTGGAGATGTAGTAGTGCAGGTGCTTTGTGGTTTGCCAGATACTTCATGCAGCTGTGAGTACCAAAAAACCCACTAGTCCTAAAAAACCTCTCTGAAGATCAAGAACTCATGTCCGATCTGAAAGAGAAAAGARTGTGAGCCTACCTGGCACTAAACTGGCTTTCTGGGGTTGACTGCGCTTGTTAAAGTAGAGGTAAAGGCTTAGTCTGAAAAAAAGGGCAATTTGTCATGAAAAATCATCCTCTTTGATAAAAAATCATCTGTCCAGTTAACCTGTGTGATTGATAGAAATTTCCCCTGAGGTCCCACAACAGTGTGTGATCCAGAAGAGCTTTGACATATCTATTTCTTTAATATCAAAATCAGATGAGAGGTTTAAAATTAGGCTTTCATTTGTCCCTYTAGAAGTCTGAAGAATTAAATTAGAAGGGTGGCTGTCGTGTAACTGAGAGCTTTCCCAGCAAGCCCATAACATTGTTTGCCTGTGCACTAACAACACAAGACTGATGAAGGGGCTGATAGAGTTCTTCAGTCCTGARCTTTTAAAGCAATATTCACAACTGGTTCATGTGCAAGGCACGCTTCTGTGTGACAGTCTGTACTCAAATAATGTTTTTTTCTAGATTAGTGACAAAATAATCCAATCCTCAAATTCTGCCTGTGCTGCCCTTTCCTCCTGCATGTATTGGGATCTCCAGGCTGGTGTCTTATCCCTTCTTTTCTTTCTTTCATTTCCCATTTCAAAGGTGGCTCCTAACCAAAGCCAGATCATATTTAAAAACAAAACAAAACAAAACAAAACAAAAAAACCAACAAAAAAAACCAAACCAAATCCAAACCCAACCAAACAATTTCCTCTTTCTCTATTCAGCCTCCACTTCTGGTGTGTGCCCTGTGGGCTTGCTTTAATGTTGACTTGCATAGCTTTTTATYCCGATTTTATAAGTACACAACTCAGAGACTGAAACTAGTTTCACTCTTTTGTGTGTATTTGGGTCTGAAATTACCTTAAACAGTTATGGCTGTTGATGGATAAAATTTAAATTCTTTTCTTTAGATTTTACTGAGATTTCCTACCCACCCTTGTATTTAAAGGAAAAGAGGTGACCTGCAATTACAAGAAAGTTGGCAGAAGAAAAGCACCATAATCGCAACTTCGTGATACACATTTAAAAGTTGACTGCACAGGTTAACTAAAAAAACCAAAAAGATGTGCTGTTTCCACTGTGTGGTGAATTAACAGTCCAGAAATAAAGCAATTGCAGCCTCCACTTGGAAAGCTTAACTGAGCTCCTGGAGGTTTCCTGTTTCAGCAGTGATGCAGTCACTTGCAAAATGAATTGATAACTTCTGAAGCACTTTGGACAGGTSTAAGGATGATTGTTCCATCTATTTCAGCAGATGTGCTTGAAGTTTTCTCTCTTTTTACAGATTTTTATTTCTGCCTTTTGTGCATGGTGCTGCTTGGGAGCCCTGTGGCAGGGGGGGATGAGGTCCAGGGGCTCACCCTGCTCCTCCTGAGGGTGGGTGAGCAAGGTGTGCTCAGCATCTCACCAGACCTGATGCCTGTAGCTGGTGAGATCAAGCAGTGAGAACATGTTGATATGAGGAGGAGATGAGGAGATCAATGCTTTTTTCTCTTCAGGTTAATCTGTCCTGCCTTGTTTSATGTTTCTGTGATTATGAATACCGCCCTCCCCACTCCCCAGCTCATCTTTCTGCCTTCTGCTTCTGGCCTGACCCAAGCATTTGAGTGCCATTCCTCTCTGAGCTACTGTGACCCTCAGGATCTTTGCCTGAGCTCCATGAAGCTTCTTCCTTSCAGACCATCTTTCTCTTCTTGTCTTTAGACCTTGTCCATCTGGCTGTTTGCTCTCTCCCTCCTTTGAAATACTTCTCCTTCAGACCCATCTCAGTTAGTTTAATGCCTGTCAGCTTCATACACCTTGAAGGTTACTTGAGGCAAACAAATATTTGCACAGTGCAGGTCATGAGACCTATTTCAGGCTTCTTGTTTCTGATGAGATCCCTTGTTCCTGGTGCGCCAGGTCTTCATAACTTAAAAGAGCCCAGCACAGATGCAGACTCCTGCTCTACAGAKGTCTGTGTGTCTTTGGATTAGTTCCAGCTTTGTCTCCTGAGCTGTCCTGTAGTGCTTGCCTCATCCCCCTCTACCACAATGTTCAGGGGGCTTTTTTCAGAGCCCATCTTTACTTGAATCTCTCCTCCTCCTGCTACTTGCAGCTACCTGTGCTCCCTCTTGCTAACAGACCACCTTCTTTCCTTGTCACTTGCAGCTTGCTCATGATCTGTGGCCCTTCTGTGCCACAGCAAAGCAGTCAGGCCATTCCTGCTGGAAAAGTCTTGAACTATAGGCAGGGCAGAGAATATATTAAAGTGTGCCTGATGTGGGCAGTGCTGGCTGCTCCTGCTTTGTGTCAACACCTGTCAGTGGGGAAGGGAGCAGACCTGCTGGGCYTTGGTTTTCTGGCAGTTTTCTGAATAGGACCTGCAGACACTTTCAGGGTAACTCAGCTTCTGTTGCCAGCCTTGGACATAGATGGGATTTGACCCCCAACACTCAAATTTCCTAATAGTAAGCTTTGAGATTTTGCTGAGCCTCACATACTATGTCCTTATTCAGAATAAGTATGTTTATTCCTTAAATTGCTTTGAATTCATCTGGAGCTTTGGGTGATCAGCATGCCCAAAGCAGGCCTTGATGTCTCAAACGAAATATAAAAACAGACCAGGTGTTTTCACCTGGCTTGGAGTCATGATGTTTCTAAGTCTTTTAAAACAGACATGATTTTTGATGCAAGTGTATCTCAGAGCTGGGCAGGATAGACAAGGAACAAAGCATGAAGCAAAGATCTCTCAAGGCATTTGTAACAGGAAAAAGAGATTGATTCTGTCCATGGCCCCTATTTAATAGCATGGTTGCTTCCCAGGGTAAAATGACAGGGTAGACAGGAGACTGGCACAGGAAGAATGGATGTTTTTYGGGCACCCAGGTGGGTGTAGTCAGCAAACATCTCCTGTGCAGYTTTGCTGTGTGAGAACATGGTGGGTCCATCCAGCACAGGTGGGCTGAAGGGATTTGGATAAAATATATCCCCCCCAACACAGTCATTCTCATTATTTCTYTCAATTTCTGCACTCCGGGTGGTTGCTACCCATTTCTTATTCAAGCAAAACTTCCTGAGAGATTAGTGGGGGTTTTGTCCAAGTGTGAGATGCTAGAGCAAGTTTTCATTTGTTAAAGCAGTTTATTTAACATTACAGAAAATTAGATTCCTCCTCAGCTGAAGTCCAGGTCGCATCCATATTAGTCAGAGTAGGGAACTAAAAAGAAAGAAATCCCTTTGTGGTGATGGAGTGCAAGGTATTTGATTCAGCATCACGCCTGATTGCTCTATTGTAATAGCATTTTACTATGTCTGGCTGGTTCTTTTCAAATACCTCTTTCAGTCAGCTTAGATTAAGAAATTAAACTTTCTGAAACCGATGCTTTGTCTTTCTGGAGCACAGGTGATATACTGAAATTATTTAAGCAGTGTAAAAATACAAAGAGTTGAACAAAGGATTGAAAAGTGAGATATGTTTCCACTTTTAAGGAARTTATGCAATCAACAATTAAAACTGTTTTATAAATCTAGTTTGGGAAGGTTTTGGGTTTTTTTTCCATATCTAAAGCACTGGAATGACTGGAGTCACTGGAGAAACATCTTGATAGCAATGGATAAAATGTAAACCTTTAACTACGACTTTGATTTTTCTGGAATCAGAATTCCGCTCAAGCAGCATTCACAAAGCTGCTAATGTACTTTGTGATTCAGAATGAAATTGCATACACAAGCCAAACTGTGATCTTAATCCTTTCCAACCAAGGGAGTGTTTGCTCATAGTTATCACTCTCAGCTAATGAATCCTTATGGTGATGAAATGCTTGTCAAGAAGGCTGCTCATTGCCACTTGTTTTCCCAGGAAAAGAGATTGAATTYCTTCCTGAGTAACAGAAATTGCTGTACTTTTAACTTTTGGGTGATGTACAGTATTTGTAATTTAGAAAAAAAAAAAAAGCAAATAGAAAGCCAGCTGCTGTGTTATTATAGGACAAAGGTTAGCCCATGATATCCCATCTAGCTGAATAAGAACTCTGAATGAGCAAGTTTTCAGTCCCACAGACACAAGATTACCTTGGGATAGCTCAGTGTTTACAACCTCATGTGCTATGTGTTGTGCAGCCCTGAATGTACTGACTATCTTAAATAATCGTGCATAATTTCTGATGAAGTTTAAGAAATATCTAAACCAATGGGAAATTTAATGGGATGATGGAACTGGGTTTGTAGGCAAGAATGACATGCTTGGAGGTCACATCGTGCACAGCTTCTCTCTTTCTCCATGCTCACATCAGTAAGGTGCAATGTCCRAGAGTATCCAGGAACAGCCACCGAACTGAGAAATATTCAGAGTTCCTACAATGTAAAATGATTATGGGAAAAAATGTATAAAAGTATGGAAATGAAATAAGAATGAACATTTTCTCACATGGCTAAGCTGAATTAAAATACTTGCTAGGAAGTGGTATTTCTGTCTGCTCTATTATTTTTTTCTGAAAAAAAAAGTAACTGATGTTTCTCTGCTCAATCTTCATTTGTAAAAACTGGCATATACAAAAAATATAACTTAAAATTTTTCCTTAGATACGGAAAGAGATCAAGCCCAGATACCCTGATCTCAGACCTCTTGTTGAGGGAAAGCACAGAAAACATTCCTAGATCCAGGTATGTATGAAGAGCTCATTTGGATTTAACAGTCTCATTTGTTATCAATACATATGTTTCACAGGGAGAAAATGTGCCACCAATAGCTGGTYAATCATGCCCTAAAAGAAAATCATTAATTCCTTTTTTCTTAAGAGATAACACCATCTAAGAATGCAAGAAGTGCCTTAACAGGTATGAGATAGTTCAAACTCCTCATTTCCTGATTTTGGGAGCAGACCATACCTGTTATTTAGAGGAAGGGAAGCATTCCCACAACGCTTGCCCCATTTTGGGCATTTTTACATAGCATTGCCTGCTGATGTCGATGATGATTCCTTACATTTTAGAGCCCCAAGATGGCATATTGCTATCCATTTGCTGCTCACACAGGTTTATATTTTTTTTCCTCCAAAAATTTATATGTGGTAAATATACACCTACATTAAATCATACAGAAATGCATGGCTMTAACTTGTCTTTAAAACACAGTGATTCACATTTTTTTTTTGTCTAATATTTTACAAAGGGAAAAAAGCCTTTATATTTCCATTTGCATTTGCATTTGTTTAAGTAACAGTGGTGTTCAAACAACACTGGAGTTTAAAATGTACATAATGCATTTATCTAGTTAGATAATGACACTTTAGCTATAATGTAAGATACCGTAGTAGTGACTGCAATTTACACAGCTGAAAAGTAAGTATGTTGAAAAGGTAAGATGCAGGGGGAGTTTTGGCTGATGAAGGAAAATACTGGTTTTAATTTTACTCACAATTGAGTATGAATGAGCTAAGTTTAAGCCTTTACTGATTGTCTGAAGTTTGCTGGCAACACTTCTACTGCAGAAATAAATGTTTCACGCAGTTGTCTTCTTGGGAGTCTACAAGCAAGGGCTCTGCAAAGGCTGAACTCGACTAGTTAAGTGCTTAAACATAATAGCCTGCAGAATTAAATTTAGGGCTTGATCATGACACTGAAAGGTGACACAAAATTCCTGCTGCCATCCAGGGAGGTTGTCCATGAGGCTCGTGGTTCTGCGCGTAGGGAGACCATTGTCTTGTGGTTTGATGACTAACCACAGCTGTGGGGATGCAATTTTCTCTGCAGATGCTTATCTAAAAAACTGCATGGAGTGCAGTGAAATGTATTAGACTATTTTGTGTTTGGTAATGACAAGGCAGCGCCCTCACATAATGGGAAATTTCCACTGCCTTGAGTTTGAGGCAACACACAGTGTAGTTAGTACTCATGCTCTAATATATCTCTCTAATAGTCTGATACTCTGTGTAATTTTCACCCCTTCATCACAAAACTTTATGATTATTATTATTGTTTCAACAATGCTATTTATAACACACTAGGGAGCAAAAATTCGTGAGCAAAATAACCAACTAGTCTGCAGTTAAGATCAAGAATTGATGAGAAGCAGATTTTTATTTCATACCCCCTGTAACAGCACTTTAAACTGAGTTTGGTATTTTTCACTCATTGCTGACAGTTATGAGAGTACTGGGAACAATGATGCCTAGTTTCCTATGGATATGTTTTCTAGGATAAAACCCTGTATGGATTCTGAACCCCACTCCAACTTTTTCTTCCATGTGAGGACATAATTGAATTTTCTTTCTACCTAGTCCTGTGTTTCACAGCACATGATGAGCTAAATATCTCTAAAATATGTGTACCTCTCCCTGACTTGGTTGAAATTGTCCAAAGGGTGTGAAAGCTGCGGGGGGAATTTAGGAGAGCCACACAGGGTTGGACAACAGGACACAGAGCATGGCTGCCTAAACCTTCCTCCTGGAGGAAGCCAGGCTAAATGAACCAAAGCCTGCAATTATTCTGATCTTACATTAAGTTAATATTTCGGAAATAGTTACACACAAAACTAGTTGTAGAGCAGATGTGATTTGCACTCAATGAATCAGTGGCAGAGAGAGACACTTCATGAGTTCTTGGGAACTGAACTTTGCAACTAAACACTGAGATCATAATAAATAACTGTATTCACCTTGACCAGCTTGGTTTGTCATTTCACTTATGCTGAAGTAAAATCCCAAAGGATTTTTTAGTCTGGTTGTATGTCTGACCAAGTGAAGAAAGTTTAGAGAGATTCCTTTAGAAATTAATTACAAAATAGGAAGCTAAAGATTATAAAAAGGAGGTGCCTTGACCTGAATACAAGTAAGATCTTATGACAGAAATGTGTGATATGGCCTGTTTCTGATTTTGCCTGTCTTGGGATGAGAAAATGTTTCATACTCTGTAATARGAATATCTCTCCTGATACTGGCTCTGTAAATTGAGATATCTAGTATGAAGTACTTGTCTACATTGCCCTTGCATCCCTCAATCAGAGAACTCCAGAATGAGCTTTCCTTCCTAAAACGGCAGGATCTCAGTTGCCCTCTTAAGGTGTCAGTGTCTCTCCAGTGACTGTGGAGGCAGACTAGATATTTAATTAAGACTTGATGTGCAACTTTTAGATTGGAAAAAGCAATGGAAATGCATCTCTCCTKGTCTTTTCCCATGTTCTCCCACTTATTAACTTTCCTCCTGTGCAGACAAAAGAGCTGCTTGAAAGCAGAGGATCTCTGGATAAAATCCTGCCCTCACACCCATTTCAAACACTTGATATCGAGCAGTGCTACACCACAATAACATTTTAGGATGGTGGCTTTGAACTTGAATTTTGTTTGAAGGTGCTTACAGCATGATGAAATTTTGTTTGGCACAGTGAGTTTTCTTTGGAAGTTGTTTACTCCTCAGTTAGAATGAAAAACATACCTTTAAGAAATTTGTATTTCAAGATATAGTTTTTTAGCTTAATTTCACTAAGTGCTATTTGGTAGTGTGAAGCAACTTTGTAGAGAGTCTCAAACATTAAAACATGGCACCAGGGCAGTAGGATGTAGGGGGAAGTTCTGGCACCAAAGTTCTGGCACCAGATTTTTGGTAATCCATAATGCCTCTGTTTTTGTGGGAGTCCAATATACAATCTTCAACTGCAAATATGCCTATATATTCCTYCTTGCTGCTCTTAATGAAAATTTTAGGTAGTTTTAACGCTGACTTTTTTTTTCAGAGGGGGTTTTATATAAGTTTAATGTGGGTTTTGTATTCATACTATGTGTTGCAGGTTTGAAGACCCTTCGATGTGGTGATGGGATTTTCAGCACACCTTCAGAACTTTTCCTAGTTTTTGGTTCATACTCCACTCCTCTGAAGCAAATCATAGCATCATCCCAAGTGCATGCAGCATTGTACCGAATTCTGTAGAGTTTCTCCTYCATCATATTTGTATATACCTTTATTTAAATAAATTATTTGTGCATTCCAAAGTATAACACACTAAATGAGAACAAACAACCMTGTCATTGGTACAAGAAGCATTGTTTTAAACTATTAAAACTGAATTATAACTTCCCTGTAGTGTGAAGTAGTGTGGACARCAGTGGTGTCACAGTTATTACAGTAATTACTGTGCAAAGTAAGATAGAGACATCATTTATTGTGGCCTCAGACTCAGCTCAAAACTGTTTAAAGTAATTTATCACAGACTGCATAACTTAGGAAAATTGTGTTCTGAGATGTGATTTTTAAGAACAGCCATATTAAAAACTTATTTAATGCTTACAGTGACAAATGTAATAAAATTAATGGCATTTTGAAGTTCAAAGGAATAAGTCACTGCTTAATTCTGCTAACTCCTTGAAACCAGTTTGATGTTTGGCTGTAAGCCTGAGCTATAAACAGATATAACGTCTTTGTTTTGGCAACATGCAAAATGGCTGAAAATAATATCTAAAGTAACTCACAAAGCAAGACAAAACTACAATTATTTGTGCCAGAAAAGAGACACCTAGCATYGCCTAAGGCCTTGGGAAGAAGCATACTGAGAAATCCCAACCCTTGGGGTACTCTGAGCGCTCTGAGCCTCTTGCACTCTGAGCCTCTCTCATTGAGAGTTGTTGATGGTTTCTGTTTGTACCATAAAAAAGTTCACAGAACAGGGACAAGATGAGCTGTCTCCAGGTTTACAGTTTCTTGKTTTTGGATTTTGTAAGTTTAGTCACTAGCCTAATGGGGGTCTTAGACACATATGAAGTTTTTACTTAATATAATAATAGGTAATATAATAATGGCAGTGCATTACCCTTGTTCTTAAGCAGTTTTCATTCACAGATGTGTCTTGCAGTAGGGTCAGGGCCCAGACTGTGCATGACACAAATGTTGGCCTTTGGCTCCCATAGAYCACTTCTTTTCTTTAGACACTGTGACTAAACGCTGCATAATAAAGCACACAAAGGAGTTCCAAACTGGAAAAGAATCAGCGTGAAAGGTTAATGGATTTACATCTCCTTCCCACTTTTCAAATGCTTCCACATGGCTGTTGCCCCCAGAGAGCTGTGTCAGTGCAGCCAAGCTCGAGGTTTCTATAAAAGCATTTGCAGAGCSTTACCAGCTTACCAGGACTGGCCAGCTTTTGTGGTCACACTGTCTTCAGTGAAGCACAACACAGCTTTACTTGTCATAAAACCTTGGGTGTCATTGGAATTGGCAAACTTTGCTTTCTGCAGCAATGCTTTAACTTACAGACTTGGTGATGGTTCCATAGTGCTAYACATAGAATTGTGAAGATTAAGAGAATCTGGAGTTAAATGATTGGGGCTCCCAGGGTAAACTGTTGCCACCCTCAACAGTAGGCAATAATGTTCAGAGGGACTCCAGGATGGCCACAAATTGCTGGAGCAAGCCGAGTCCATCAACCTCAGGCAGAGTACACAGAGTACTCTGCTTTGAGGAGCTATTAAAATGAAAATTGGAAGTTATTGAGATTCATGATATACACAATACCTTTAATTCCTGCTAATTTTTAATATCTCTCTCTACTAATGAACATGCAAATTATAGTACCAGTAATGATATAAATTATAAACTAAACTTACATTGCTTGTACTATCATTACAAATGGACCCTAGTGGACAAAGAAAGGGTTAAAGGAGAATTRGCACATTCTAAACACTTGCACTGAGTTGTTCCACTCAATTGCCTGAGTTCTCCTGAATACTCATCTGTATAGAAAAACTATTACCTCATGAGCTGTCACAAAGACAAGGCAAAGCACTCACACCATATTTATCTGACCACTCTGTGCTATTATTTTCTTTCTAAAATCTTCTSCTCTCTGGGGCAGACACAACATTGCCATACGATTCTAGTGTGCTTAGTGCTTAGATTCCTTGAGTACTTCATATACTATTCTTGACAGGCCAGGACACTGAAAATATTGTATCAGCTCTCCAAATCACAGGATAGGCTTAAAAAATGAGCTGTGAAATKAAGATAAATATGGGTTTTGTTTGGCATGGCTTCTGCATTTTGACTGCAGRGTCAACTTTTTCATCTTTTTCTCTTTAACCATGAGAAACAGAGCCTTGTTTCTAAAGCAAAGCCTGAAATTTATGTTAGAGCCCGAGGAAGTGCCAGGAATAATAACAAGTAAGAACATATAAGTAGAAAATAGAATTTCGTCCTTTATTTATTGGGGCTTTGAAATAATGAAAAATGTACATAAATAGGTGTCAAACATTTAAAAGACAGTCCTCCTTTACCTCTAGCAATTTCTGTAAAATACATCACAGTTATGCCTGACTTTGATTTAACCAAAGAGGAGATCCAGATGATCCCACCTGTCTTCTTTTCCGGGAGAGAAAATTATCTTTTTCCCTCTTCATCCCTACACCCCTAGCCCACCAAAATGCTTTCAGCCCTGAAATTCTCTGTGCCAGAAGACCCTTCATCATGGTGCTTCAGTGTGGGCAGTGCTGCCCAAACCCATGGCATTGTGCTGTGGTGAGCTGAGATTTACCTGGTAGTTGACAAATAAATACCAAGTTTCAGGTGCAGCATCWAGTGCTTTCCACGGTGGTTTATACCAATTTTTTTGTGCTCTGCTGTCCCCTCACCTTAGTGCTTAGGGTGATGTGCCCAGGAGCACTCAGCACRTGTGAGAAGGGTATTTTTAAGCTGAACTGACCATTGCTCTGTTTCCCATGGGATTACATGTCTTGCCTGGCCACATGATCTTCGGGAGTGCTTGTGTAAATCTAACACTGGATCTTTTTCCCTTCTGTTGTCACCTGATGACCATTAGCCACTAAAAGTCAACATTTAAAATTCACCAGAATAAATCACAAAATTATCATRGAGTACCCAGTTAAAAAGGAACTTCGAGGATCATCTGATCCAGCCTTTCTTGGCAAAAGCATCGTATAGACAAGATGGTCCAGGAGCCTGACYAGCTGAAACTCATAAATGTCCAGCACTGGGGAACACCCCTGTTCCCTGCAGAGATTTTTACTGTAAAAAAATGAGTGGCTGATTGTTATCGTGAAAATTTCTCCTCTTGTGTCCAATCAGAATCTCCCCAAGAATAACTTGTACCCATTAGCCCTCATATTTTTCTTGTGACTCCTTTTGAAAAGGGAGCCTCCATCTTCTGGGTAGCCACACTTAAAATACTGGAACATAGTGATGAGGTCCTCCAAAGCTGCCTTTTCTCAAGGGCAAATGAGCCTTTATTCTCAGTCTTTCCTCATGTGGCAGGCTGCCCAGTCCTTTGATCATCTTTGTGGCCATTCTCTGGACCTCTCCAGCCTGTCCACATCTTTTCTTGTGCAGCAAGRACCAAAAGTGAGCACAGTATTCCAGGTGTGAGCAGCACCAAATTGAGTAAGGAAAACAAAGTGTTTCCAGATGAATTTCAGTGAAGGTAGAAAACGAAATGCAAACTAAWCATAATTTAACATACATACTCTTGCTTTGTTTTGCTGGCTTAGTACTCTGAGTAAGAAAGTGCTACTSAGTGGAAATTGCCTAATGCACTAATTCATATCAGGTCAGTGTATTTTATTTATCTGGCTGTATTGTTATCAGTCTATCAGTCATTTATTTATCTGTATTACAGCAGCACATGGAGACTCCAGATATGGGGCTCATTGTGCTCAAGTCTAAAAAACCATAATAAAAAAAAAAAAAAAAAAAAAAAAAAAAGCCTAGACTACAGAGATATTCCATCCACGTGCAAGGAAAGAAAGTGGAAGGAAGCTCGAACTCATAAATAAAATGGTAAGTAAGTGACAGTGTCCTGCTGCACCTGCAGCCTTGCCCTTATAGGCTCTTCGATTACAGCAATTAAGAATGTGCTATAAAACAAGTAGTGCACCATTATCTTGTTTCCAGTTAATATGTGTGTTTGCTAAGCTCTCCCTTATCAAAGTTATTTGCTTTTCTCTAATGACCCAGTCTTTGCCAGGCCCAGAGACCTTCCAAGCTATATTTAGCTACAAGCAGCTCCCACCTGCCTGTGATGAACACCCAGYTCCAGCCTTGCAGTTCCTGCAGAACACAAATTCCCTCTAAACTCTGATTAAATTCAAAAATTTAAACATGCACTAGGCCAATCTAGTCCCAAAGGCACAGAGTGAGCCCACTCACTTTAACAYCAGCCTGGGGCCAGCCTATTAATGCTGATTACAGAGGGTGGTGGTGGTGAGTAGTTATGCTCTGAATGGGAAAAAATGGATGGAGATATAACTTTTATGCATGATTTTTAGCCTGTTCTGAGATTATTATTGCTGTCTGTTTAGGTCTAGGGCCATTTAGTTTTGTTTGGTTAAAGGGAGGGTTGGACCAGTATTTTAGAAAKGTTGGTGTATAGTGTGTGATGGCAGACTTAATTCTTGTCCTTGATTTGTTGGATGTTCTGCACATGAAAGTCTCCTCACAAGGGTTCTTTGGGTGAATGGGGAAGAACAGAGACTGTACTTGCCATTCCTGCCTGGAACCCTCTAAGGCAGGTCAGATAATGAGGATGAGAATAGCAAAACCCCTGAACTGCTGTGGGCTTCCCCAAGAGAACCTGGACCAGACGGTCAGAAACACTTCTGTGCCCAGATGTGCAGATGGAACACCAGTAGGGTTTTTTTAGATATATTTAATACCTAATGGTCCCTGACTGTTTAAATGGAAAATACCATGGACCACCTTGAGCCATGATTGTATCTAAATTCACAATAAATTTTGTGTGTTTAGGGTCCATATTACAAATTCTCACAGAGAGACTGGTGGTCAGCTCAGAAGATTTCAGACCTCTTTCTTTATGTCATTTTCCTGTGCACTGGATAGAAGGTTCTGGGCTGTGGGCTGCCAAGGTCCTGCAAGTGTGAGTATCAGGGTTCTCTGGAGATGTGTCTGGAGTCATTCCACCTCTGAAGAAGCAGAATTGATGGGAGCAGGGGGGGCATGAGGTACCCTTGCAGATAGAGTTGATGGTGACTAATACTGAACAGAGCTGTAACAGCCTTCCCACAGCAACTTTCCTGGTGAGYTGTAAATTGGCAGCTTCTCCCAGAGGTACAAGAGTGTGAGATGCTCTTTGTCAAATAAATATGTTTGTATCAATTAGGAATGAGGGTTTAGAAGACTCTGTGCTAAATGGGTGACTGGCTCTTTAATAGATCTTTCTTACTAGTTTTTCCACAAGTTCTTATGTTCTGTTTTCATGGAMTCATAGAATGGTTTGAGTTGSAAGAGACCCTAAAGRTCACCTAGCTCCAATCTGMCTGCCATAGGACACCTTCCATTGGACCAGGTTGCTCAGAACCTCATTCAGCCTGGCCTTGAACAYTGCCAGGAAYGGGGTATACACAKCTTTTCTGAGCAGCCTTTTCCAGTGCCTCACCACCCTCACAATAAAGCATTTCTTCCCATTTTCAAGCTTCTTTYCCTTTGAAAAACATCTTTTTACTTTCTGCTCTTGTTTCACTTTCTTTTACACGAACAAAAGTAGGACTGCAATTTGATGTTATTCTGCATTTACAATGCAACCTATTCTGCCAGAGATGATTTTCTTGGCTATACCCATTCATTCACTCTGCCATGTTTATRATGATTACTCTGGTTCAGCTATCATCCCCACTGAAATCAGCTGAAAATACTGTCTTTGCACACATTTTCCAAATCCTGTTCCAGCAGTAGTGGCAAGGATTTAATTTTCTAAACAATTGCTCCAGTACTTGTTAGAGTGCATTATAAGCCTTAAAAATGGATTCTAGTTAAGCCATCTAAACCAGGAAATAAATTTTATCAATTGAATATTAATAGTCCAGAGGTTTGGATATGTTTTGATATAGTCAGC